ATCATTATCAGCATCACCATCTGTATCATCGACAACAGCATCATCATCGTCGTCATCATCATCATCGTCATCATCATCATCCGCCTCCTCGGAAGCATCGCCATCATCGACCCGTCCAGACGGGCACTGCATGCGGGCCACCACGGCCACCTCCCAGAGCCCAGCACTCACCGCCATCACCGCCCTCTCCCTCGGGGCAGGGCGAAATGAAACAACGGCAGCTCAAACTATGCCCAAAGACTAGAGGCATCCTAAATGGGGTCCGAGTAGATGAGGTCGGAAGATCGCACCGCATCGCCGATGCATCGCCGATGCATTCGGCATGCATCGGCGACGTCCGCTTGGAGAGAACGGGGCTCCACATCGAGCCGCATCGCCAATGTATCGGCGACGCGACGCGATCCTCCGACCCCATCTACTCCGACCCCATCTGGGCGGCTCAGAAGGACCCCTCACGGGGTCAAGCGCACCAGTTGTTCGAGCTGCGTCCAGCCGTAGCGACGAGGGGGGCCCCGAAGGCAAACTACTGCTGCCTCAACTCGCCCAACATCGTCGCGCTCTGGCCTTCGGGCCGTGATTCTGCTCTTCAGCGACCTTGGGGACGATCCGGGCACCCCTCCGAACGCCCTCGGCGAGGCGCAGCCGCTGGAAGGCACCCCGAGGCTGGGAAACCGCCAAGGATCAAGGAAAACCTTCAGCCTCGAACCTGCTCACTCAGCTCTGAACCTCCCACCGCCTGGCACTCGCCGCCGCCCAGCGCCCGGCGACCACCGCCACCCTGCGCCTCAGCAGCGCCCGCCGAACGCCCGAGACGGGTGCCCGATCCCCTGGCCCGAGGAGGAGTAGAGTGGAGGTGAAGGAGGACGAGGAGGAGGAGGAGGAGGAGGAGGAGGAGGAGGAGGAGGAGGAGGAGGAAGAGGGGGAGGAGGGAGAGAAGGAGGAGGAGGAGGAGGAGGAGGAGGAGGAGGAGGAGGAGGAGGAGAAGGCGGAGGAGAGGAGGAGAGGAGGAGAGGAGAGGAAAGAGGGGGAGTCTGAGGAGATGAGGAGGAGGATGAGGAGGAGGAAGAGGGGGAGGAGGTAGGAGGAGGAGGAGGAGGAGGAGGAGGAGGAGGAGGAGGAGGAGGACGAGGAGGAGGAGGAGGAAGAGGAGGAAGAACGGGAGGAGGAGAGAGGGGAAGAGGGGGAAGAGGGGAGGAGGAGGAGAACGAGAGAAGAGGGGGAGGAGGAAGAGGGGGGGAGGAGGAGGGGGAGAAGGAGAAGGAGGAGGAGGTGGAGGAATGGGAGGAGGATTAGGAGGAGGAGGAGGAGGAGGTGAAGGAGGAGGAGGCAGAGGAGTTGGAGAAGGAGGAGGAAGAGGAGGAGGAGACAGGGGAGGCAGAGGAGGAGGAGGAGCAGGAGGAGGAGGAAGAGGAGGAGAGGAGGGAGGAAGGGAAGGACGGGGAAGTGGAGGAGGAGGAGGAGGAGGAGGAGGAGGTCCAGTGCAGACCCAAGACTCATCAACGACATTGCAATACACCCTTCCTCCAAACTGCCTCCTCATAGGTCCCTACACGGATTCAGTTTTACTGAAGAAGGGTCCCGGTGGAAGACAATCGTTTAATAATCCAGAAATGTGCCAGAACGCCTTTCCTGGGACATCAACGCCACCAATCACCTCTCATGAATCGTGCCAGAGCACGATTCCTGAGACGGTTGCGCCCTGACATTCCGACATCGTTACAAAACATCAATTCTGGGACGTTGCCCATAATAATCACTGAAACGGATTCCAACTCTTGAAACTGGCCGCCCTCCATCCGTGAATATCCTGCAACGCTTAGACCGAACGTGCGCGGCGCTAAGGCGAGAGCCACATTTTGAAACCAGGACCACCATTCATCCGTGAAACCCTTGCAAACTTTTAAACGTGTGTACGCGGCACTAAGGCGAGAACCACATTTTGAAAACGGGCCGCCCTCCATCCGTGAAACTCGTCGGTAAAGCGAGAACCACATTGTGAAAACGGGCAGCCCTTCAACCGTGAAACTCTTGCATGTGTTTGAGACGATGCATGCGGCGCTAAAGCGAGAACCACATTTTGAAAACCAGCCGTCCTCCATCCGTGAAGCACCTGCACACTTTCAAAACGAATACACGCGGCGCTAAGGCGAGATACACATGTTAGAAACGGGCCACCCTCTATCCGTGAAACTCGGCGCTGACTCGAGAACCACATTTTGAAAACGGGCCGCCCTCCATCCGTAAAACTTCCGCAAATTGCAAGCTTCAACATCACAGATGGTGAGAAAATCTCAGGCGAAACGCTCGGCCCACCTTTTCGACCGGCCTCGGGGTGCGACAGGGAGGAGCTATCTATAAGGAGAAACGACGGAGGAGGAGGAGGAGGAGGAGGAGGAGCACGGAGGAGGAGGAGGAGGAGGAGGAGGAGGAGGAGGAGGAGGAGGAGGAGGAGGAGGAGGAGGAGGAGGAGGGGACCGCCCGATCCCACCGACCGCCGCGGACCCTTGGCGACCCCCTCGGCGGCGGTGGCGACGACCGCGGCGGCGGGCAGTGGCCAACCGCTGCGCGGGCCTCGCTGCAGGCGCCCCCCCGCGGGCGCCAGCAGGCTGCGCCGGCATCCCTGCGGCCGCGGCCTTCTTGGCGGCCTACTTCTTCGAGCGCGCCTTCTTGGCCGGCGGCCTGCCGTCCTGCGCGCGCGGCGACCACTGAGACCCTGGCGTCGCAACGTCTTCACAGCTGGCGATTTTGCATCGTGTCGGGCCCCAGAGCCATCACAAATCGATCCGGCTTGAAATACGCAGCAGAAAAATCGGGTCTAGGGCTCTGGTCGGTCGTGATGTTTCGCGATGTTGATCTGTTTTTGCAACGTCGGATCTCAGGGACTGAAGAAACCACAAGGTACAGATACAGCTACTCCCTGAACCTCTCCGGGACTGCGTTATGGCCAGAAATTCGAAACGAATCCAGACGTGGCGACGAGGGCCTCCCAGGATGCCCAAGTCGGTGTAAACGAGTCCAGGGTAGCGGTATCGGTGACTCCTCAACCTCTGAGACTGGCGGCGACTAGTGGCGACCGGCGGCGGCAGCGAGGAGGGCGACCACTTTCGATCCGCGGCCCCAGAGGTCCCGACCCCTTCCCCGGGCAGGGTTTGTCGCCCTGGGTATGTTGTTGGTGGCCCCGATATAAAGGCCCCTAGAGACCTAAATCGAGGAAGGCGCCAAGATCGGAGAACTCATTTCGTCGGAGACTTAAGACCTTCGTCGTCGTCGTCGTCGTCGTCGTCGTCGCCGCTCGGGCCGCCAGGGGGGGGGCGCCGATCGGCGCCTCAGAGTCGAGGGCCACGCGGCCGTGCTCGCTCTCGTGCGCGAGGATGCGCTCGACGACGACGTCCTGAGCGAGCAGGTGGCAGGTACGATGGAATGGCGGTTCGGGGCGGGGTTCAGGGGGGCAGGTCGTCGAAAGATTTCTAACATCTTCGAGGCCCAGGGTGCTTTCTATCATCTGCGCCTCGTCGAGAGCGTTCGGGGGGTGCCAGACATCGTCCCGAACGGCGGCTGGAGGCCCGAGTTCTACCCCCAAAAGCGCTCGAAGGGGACGAAGGGCGTCGAGCTTCGAGAATGTCAGGCCTGTTCGTCGGTCTTCGGCGGTTTTCCAGCCTCGGGATGCGCTCCGGCAGCTGCGCCTCGCCGAGAGCGTTCTGGGGCTGCCCAGATCGTCCCGGACGGCCGCCAGCGGAGCCGAGCCATGACCCGAAAGCCAGCAAAGACTCGGTACGATCGAAAAAGGTCCATTATCGCAATAGCAGCTCGCAGGTACGTCGTCGCCGTCCTCTTCCTCGTCCTCTTCCTCGTCCTCTGCCTGATCCTTCTCTTGCCCATGCTTCTCCTCACCCTCCTCCTCCTCCTCCTCCTCATCCTCCTCCTCCTCCTCGTCCTCTTCCTACTCCTCCTCCTCCTCCTCCTCCTCCTCCTCCTCCTCCTCCTCCTCCGACTCCGACTCATCCCGGTTTCCCCTCTCTCCCAACTTCTGCCCCTCTCCCTCATCCCTGCCCCCTCATTCCTTGCTGCTCCCTCCCCTCGCATCCGCTCCCTCCATCTCCCTCCCCCTCCTTTCTCCCACGTCTGCATTATTGTATGAGAAGTGTTCCCGCTCTGCCACGTAACCACCCGATAGCCGACACATCCAGGACCTTCTGTCCTACCGATCAAGCGAACTCGACCTCATCCAATTCAACGTGGACGCTTTGTCGTCCATGTTGCGAGAGGCACGGCAGAAGTGGGACGCGACGCACATCGCGCGCGAGTGCGAGAGGTCGCTCTCTCCTCGGCACCGTGCTCATTTGTTCCGAAAACTGGATTCCCGCTTGGGTGCGGCACACATGTTTCGCTCGCCAATTCGTCCGCTGAGGGGTCGCGCCGCGCGCGAGCAAATGAAACATCGCTCTCGCCAATGCGCCGCGCAGATTTCGCCTCGAAGTTGCGCTCCCGCTGGGACCCAGCGCATATGTGTCGCTCGCCCAGGTCGTGGGTTTAAAACGGCCGCGGGGCCGCGCGCGAGCAGGCGAACGGTCGTTCCTGCCCAACCGCAGCGCAAATGTCCCTCCTGAAAGTGGCACTGCTGATTCCGCGACGCGCATGCATTGTTTTCGTCACTATCGTGGTGCACTCCCTGAGGCACCGTGCCAAAATTTTTGGGAAAGTCCTCTTCCGACTGTGCGCGGCCTCTTTGTGTTCCCCGCGCTAAGCCGTTAGAAGCAGGACCGCGCGCGAGCGCCTTCCATTCGCTAGATGGCGGCTCGCCAGTCCGAATATATTGCGCCAGCATTGGTTCCTACATTATGGGAGGCATGATGGGAGTGGGCGAGGCCCGCTGACTCGGTCGACCTGGCAAACTCGATCCTCCCTCATCATGACAATCATCACCCTCATCATCATCATCAGCATCATCAGCATCGTCAGCATCAGCATCAGCATCATCAGCCGCATCATCATCAGCATCATCAACATCATCATCATCAACATCATCATCATCATCATCATCATCATCATCATCATCATCATCATCATCATAATCATCAGCATCATCATCAGCAGCAGCATCAGCAGCATCAGCATCCTCATCATCACCATCATCATCAGTAGTAACATCATGACCACCACCACCACCTCAATCATCAGCATCATCAGGATCATCATCATCGCTTCTATCAGCAGAATCATCATCAGTATCATCATCAGCATCACCACCACCATCATCAGCATGTTCACCATCATCACAGGCAGCAACAACAACAATAGCATCATCAGCAGCATCAGCATCAGCATCTGCGTTAGCATCACAATCATCAGTATCGGAATCGTCAGCATCAACAAGATCACAATAGTTATACATAATGTTCACCGCAATCAAAATATTAATCAGCATCATCCGTATGTTCATCCTCATCCGTATCATCACCATCATGGCATCGCCACCAGCATCGTCATCATTATCGTCCCCAGCATCATCAGCATCATCAGTATCATCATCAGCATGATCAGCAACATCCTCATCCTCACCATCGCCAATGTCATCGTCACCGTTAGCATCACCATCATCATCAGCATCATCGGCACATTGATCATCATCATTGTCACCACCACCACCACCACCACCATCATCATCATCATCAGCATCATCATCATCATCATCATCATCATCATCATCATCATCCATATCAACATCATCATCATCATCAGCATCATCATCATCAGCATCATCATCATCATCGTCACCATCAGCATCAGCTTCATCATCCTCGTCATCGTCATCGTCATCGTCATCAGCATCAGCATCATCCGCATCAGCATCAGCATCCGCATCAACCTCAGCATCATCATCATCGGCAGCAGTATCATCATCATCAGCATCATCATCATCATCATCATCATCATCATCATCATCATCATCCTTATCCGCGCCATCGTCATCATCATCATCAGCATCATCCCCACCACCATCAGCATGATCATCAGCATCATCATCATCAGCAGCATCACCATCACCATGATCATCATCATCATCATCAGCAGCAGCAGCATCAGCATCAGCATCATCGTCATCCCCCCCTGCGCCTACCACGCACGTGGGATGAGAAGGCAGAGGAGGAGGAGGAGGAGGAGGAGGAGGAAGAAGGGGGTTGAGGCGAGGTGGGAGGAGCAGGAGGAGGAGATGGAGGATGGGGAGTAGCTGGAGGCTGGCGCACGTTTGAAGAACGTTGACGTTGATGTTCGGCGGACCTCACGGGCAAAGAACCATCCTGACAGTTGCATGCCAGGACCCAGCGCGAGAGCCAGGTCCACATCACGTTGCCCAGCGGACCCTCGGAGACAAGGAAAGACCACAAGCCATTGGAGACCTGCAAATTGGCACCACCACCAAGACAGGTGGTTACCTCAAGAGGAAAACGACTCTGGATTTCGGTGGTGGTGTTAATCTCTCGGCCACCTAAGAGGCCCGAATCCGACAAATCATCACCGAGATGAAGATCATCTCTCCTCGGTGGAGGCAACCTCCTATCCGCCTCCGAGCCTCTGGGCACGGAGCGGGCGTGTTCTCGAGCCTAATCCTCTGAGCCTCAGTCCTCAGTCCTGAACCTTCGCGAGGGCCCAGACCCCAAATTCCCAAATCTGTTTGGGCTTGCCGAGGTTCCCCTGGGCTCTGGGAAGCGGTGTCACGGTGTCGTGTGACATTTCGGGCCCAAGAGGGCCCCAAGACGGGCCCAGAGGGCCCCAAGAGGCCCTCAGGACGGTTCAAGAGGGCCCCGAGTTGCCGAGCCCAAGATGGGCCTCAACATGGCCCAAGAGCCCCCCAAGACGCCCCAAGAGTGTTCCAAGAGGCGTACAAAGAGGGCCCCCAAACGCAACATTCACTGATTTATACCATGCGTGTTTGAAGTTTTTCGGCCTTCTCGCCTTTTCGGCTTTCCGACTCTCCAAGACGGCCCAAGAGGCCCACAAGATTGCATCCCGACGACCCCAGAGGCCCCCAGGATGCCCACAAGACAGCTCAAGGCGGCCCCAAGACGGCCCAAGAGGCGCCCAAGACGGCCCCAGAGGCCCCAAAGACAGCTCGAAGAGGGGCCCCAGATGGGAGAACCCCGCGTACATTTCAAGACCTCGGCCCCGAGGGGCCGGACCACAGGAGGCCCCAAGAGGCCCCCAAGAGGCCCCGAAGAGACCCAAAGAGGCCCTCAAATGACCCGAAGACTCCCCAAGAGACCCAAAAACAGCCTTCAAGAGACCTCAAAACGGCCCCCAAGAGGCCCCCGTGAGGCCTCCTGCGACATCCCAACGAACATCCTCGAGGCCTATGGCGAACAACCCGGGCCCTGTGGCGGGATATGGTGGCGGACGAGCAGGAAGAAAAGGAGGATGAGGAAGGAGGAGGACGAGGAGGAACAGCAGCAGCTGGAGTGGAAGAAGCGGGAGGAGCAGGATGACCAAGGAAAGGCGGTGTTGGTGTCTGTGCCAACCTCTGGGCCGCCGAAAGGCCTCCCGCGAGATCCCAACGAACATCCTCGACGCCTATGACGCACAACCCAAGCACAGTGGCGGGATGTGCCAAAGGCCATGGGATACTGGTGCTGGTGTCTGCGCCCAACCTCATGCCATCGCTCGGGCGTCCGTGCATGCTTCGGTTCCGCGCGTGCATGTCTCGCAAGATGACAAGATGACCGAAGGCCCCCGCCGAGAACAAGTGCACACGTCCGAGCGATGCCGAGACCTCCAGGCCGCCGAACTTGCCTGGCGAACGCCTCCGGCCAACACGCACTCACAGGGCGCGTCGGGGGAAGAGGCCGCGCGCACCGCGGGCGCCCGCGGGAAGCTCTTGCCTGCGCGCCACCAGGACTGTCGCGCTCGGGCCACACCATAAATGCGACGTGGTGAGGAAGCCAACGTCGTGAAATTGGAGCATGTTTCGGCGGGGGGCAGCGGCATGTACTTCGCACTTCTGTAGGGTGGGGGGGGGACGGGGGCAGATCCCGGCGGCTCGAAGGTGGTGGGGGGACCTGAGGGGAGGGACCCCAGATGTCATCGGCGCGCCCAGGGGGGGAAATGGGAAGGGGCGGGCTTTCTCAGACGTCAAAGAAGTCCTCGGGCAAAAGGTACGGAACGCTTCTCAGAAGGCGCGAGGGCTTCTGCGAAGCCCCGCCGCCTTCCGAGAAGGCCTTTTTCCTTCTCACGTTCCCCCCCTCGCTGGCCACCGAATGTTCCTTCCAGTGGGCTGCGGCCAGCGGGGTTTAATGACTGCGGCTCCAACTGCCCGTGCTCTCGCCGCTGCCCGCGCCGCCCGCCCGCGCCGCCTGCCCCTGCCCCTCCCGCCGGGTCCGCCGACCCCTCCTGCCCAGCACGCCGACAACCTGGCCAGACAGCGACAGCAAACGCACCGGCGCAGTCTCCTCGCGCCGTCCCCCGCGCCGCGCCGAGGCGTGCGCGCCCCGGGGGTGGCGCCCAGACCCCGGGGCCCTGTCCCCCGTGCGGGCCACGGGGCTCTCGACGCGGCGCAGCCGAGGGAGAGCGACCGGGGCCCCCGAGGAGGAAAGCATCTGAGACCGCCAACACGACGTCCAGGCCTGACGGCAGCCATCGCCATCGTCGCCGCCGCCGTCGTCGCGAGCGTCGCCGCCGGCGTCGGCGACCCACCGTGATCGTCGTCGTCACCATCGGTGTCAGCATCGGTGTCGGCACCGCCACGCCCCCCCTCTCACGGCCGATTGGCACCCCCCTTCTCACACACAACATGATCGTCGATGTGATCAAAATGATTGCCCTTTGTTCCTCAGGCTGCGCTCGGCCTCCTGGCATCGCTGCCGCTGGGCTGGTCTGCCTGCGTATGGCTCTGTAACGTGGGGGGTCCAGATATCCCAGAAACCGAACCAAAGAGGACGAGGAGATCCAATGTGTGGTCACAACACGCGACGGAAGACACTAACCCTGCGGAAAGTCCGCGCGAGCCCTGCACAATCCTCGGACTGCCTCTATTGCACAGCATGCGCAAACAGTTTCCCACGAGACAACAGATGCGTCTATGTTCCTGGAGGGGGCAACCCACAACAAATCTGCGCAGGCCCTGCAAGTCATCTGTTGGTTCGGACAGGTGTTCCGTGCTCCTGATGGTGTTCCTACGCGCCGACGGCTGCGCCACTGGTTGCGGCTTTGCACACGAGACGGTACCACGCACAACTATCGGGACAAGCCCTCTACGAAGCACCCCGAGAGCACCGACAAGCGATGCAGGGGCTAGACCAACAACAATAACCGCAACCCTCCCGATCATACTCCTCGTGTGTGTGCTGGCTTTCCTTCTCGTCCCACCACTCCTCATGTATATGTCCAATCGCATCCCAAAATCTACTCATTACATCTGGTCCTACTCCTCACTCAGCGGACCTCAGGTGCGTCTGGCCAAGCCAGGCTCAGCCGACGCACGACAACAGACGTCACCCCACGGCTGGGCCAGAACAGGAAGAGCGGGCGGAGGAGGAGGGAGGAAGAGGGGCAACGAAAGGCGAGCTCCCTCCCTCCCTCATTCCTCCTCCTTCTCATCATCATTCGCCTCCTCATCCTCTCCCTTCCTGGCCCATCCCTCCCTCGCTCTACTGCTCCTCCGTCCTCCATCCTCCCCCCATCATCCCTCCTCCATCCCTCTGCTCAGGGGGTGGAGAAGGAGGAAGAAGACAGCGTAAGGAGACGAAGGAGAAATGAGGAGGCCAATAAGCACCATAATTTCAGAACGCTTCCTCTCCTCCGATCTCTCCTATCCTCCTCCTCCCCCTCCGCCTCCTCCTCCTCTCCTCCTCCTCCTCCTCCTCCTCCTCCTCCTCTCCTCCTCCCCCTCCTCCTCCCCCTCCTCCTCCTCCTCCTCCTCCTCCTTCCTCCTCCTCCTCCCTCCTCCGCCTCCTCCTCCTTCTCCCCTCCCCTCCTCCTCCGCCTCCTCCTCTGCCTCTCCGCCTCTTCCTCTCCTCCTCCTCCTCCTCCTCCTCCTCATTCTCCTCCTCCTCCTCCTCCGCCTCCTCCTCCTCCTCCTCCTCCTCCTCCGCCTCCGCCTCCGCCTCCGCCTCCTCCTCCTCCTCCGCCTCCGCTCCGCCTCCCTCCTCCTCCTCTCCTCCTCCTCCTCCTCCTCCTCCTCCTCCTCCTCCTCCGCCTCCTCCTCCTCCAGCGAATCTCCTAGAGATACGCTGTGCAGGGTCCGCGACTCCTTAGCCGCTGAGGAGGACGAGGCGCCGTTGCGGTCTGGTCCTGCTTTTTCAAACGGACCGAGCGATTCCGACAAAGCTCGGTCAGACCTCGCCTGCATTCCCTCTGCTGCAGGCGAGAGTACGGGGATTTCCGCTCAGGAGGCGTGGGCGTGGATCCCCCAAAAAAACATCCTCCTCCTCCTCCTCCTCCTCCTCCTCCTCCTCCTCCTCCTCCTCCTCCTCCTCCTCCTCCTCCTCCTCCTCCTCCTCCTCCTCCTCCTCCTCCTCCTCCTCCTCCTCCTCCCCCTCCCCCTCCCCCTCCCCCTCCTCCACCACCTCCACCTCCTCCTCCTCCTCCTCCTCCTCCTCCTCCTCCTCTCCTCCTCCTCCTCCTCCTCCTCCTCCTCCCCCCTCCGTCCCTCCGAAACCTTCCGAAAGGCTGTTTTGAAGCTCACTGCAGATTGATCAAGAAGATGCTGCTGTTGATGCTCATCCTCCTCCTCCTCCTCCTCCTCCTCCTCCTCGTCCTCCTCCTCCTCCTCCTCCTCCTTCTCCCCCATCTCCCCCATCCCTCTGTCCCTTCTCGCGGTAAAAGCCCTGGGCCCCTCCCTGCGAGAGAGGGCGCGTGGGCGTGAAACTCCTGCGGACAAAGGCGGCTACGCGCTTCGGCGAGCCACGGAGGAGGGCGAGGATGAGGTGGAGAAAGATCGTTCACACGTCACAAACAATCACAATAATGCTCGCTACCGTGGATCCCAATCAGTGGGTTACTGAAGTGTGTATACGTAAGCTACGTGGCGTCGCGTAAGTTTCGTGATGCACGTGGTGCGCAAGTAAACGAATACTTCATAGAAAGGCCCCAAGAGAGGCCAGGCAGGCCCAGGCGGGGTAACTCGTAGGGACCCCTGGAGACCTCCTCCTCACAAGATGGCTCTCAAGACGCCCAGGATAACCCGAAGATACCTCCACTTAGCTCTCAGAGCCTCGAAAAGCAACCAGCAGCTCTGAAAAAGCTCCGAAGAGGCCGTCCAAGAGGCCTCCAAGAGGCCTCCAAGAGGCCTCAAAGGAGCCGCGTAGCAGACGCGAAGGAAGAGGGGACAAGCCAGAGACAACTACACGCAGGCAGCACGACGGGGCGCGGCAAACAACACATACGAAATGAAGCCGCGCATCTCCTCTGATGGGGGATGGCGGAACGGCGTAAGCCTCTGAAGTAAGGTGTATGCATAAATGCATGCACATAATCTGTACAAGGTTTTTTCGCCACCCTCGGTGAGCTGGTCTGTGTGTGCGCCGCTTCCGTGTGCCGCACTGCCCACATTCAGGTGCTGCGCGGTGCCAATATGAGACGCCAAATAGGCGAGCACCGTCTAGGTTCTCAGCGTATTTCAACCAATACCTGATGTTTGGAACTTTGGACATTTTGGTGTGTGAATGATGGTGTGGACGGGCTGTGGTGTGAGCTGTGCGGTGCACGCTATGTGGTGCCAGGTAGGAGGTGCAAGCTGTGGTGCAGATGATCTTTACCCATGAATTGACACATCCCGCGCTCTTGCAAACATCCCACCCACCCACCCGCAATTTGGTTTGCAAAATCTCTTAAGAACGTGACGGTGGGTACCAAATGGTACTTGGCAACGACAGCGACGCCGACGACGACAGCGACAACGACGACGACGCCGCCGCCGACAACGACTACGACGACACCGACGATGTCTCCAACGACTTCGACGACGCCAACACCGACGACGACACGACGACGACGACGACGACGACGACGACGACGACGACGACGACGACGACGCCGACGACATCCTCTTCTTCTTCTTCCTCCTCCTCCTCCTCCTCCTCCTCCTCCTCCTCCTCCTCCTCCTCCTCCTCCTCCTCTGTATCCTCCTCCTCTGTATCCTCCTCCTCCTCCTCTGTATCCTCCTCCTCTGTATCCTCCTCCTCCTCACCTTCGCCGCGGGGAGGCCCCCGCCGCTGCCTCGGCGCAGGCGGCGCCTGCCGTGCCGGCGGCCGCCCTGGCAGCGGTGCGGCCGCCAGCGGCCTCCGCGCGACGGCGCGGCGCCGGTGGCCGCGTGGCCGTGCCGTTGGCGGCCGCAGGCCGTCGGCCGCAGGCCGTCGGCCGCAGGTCGTCGGCTGCGGGGCGTCGGCCGCAGGCCGCCGCGCCGTGCTCAAGACACCGAGCAGCACTCCTTGACCGGCCGGTCGGCGGCGGCCGCCTCCGGCGCGGGGCGCAGGTCCGCCGCCTCCGGGGCGACGGGGGTGCAGCGCGACCTCGGGGGCACCCCGACTCCGGCCCGACGAGGCAAGGGTAGCAGTATGGTGATATGGGTGCCTTCTCCTCCTCTGGTCGCCCCCCCTCCTCCAGGGCGCGGCATGCGAAGCACAGGAAGCGATCCTCGCATGAAAGACGCGCGTATTGACGCACGCAGCACATGTCTTCCAACTTCGAAAGCGAAAGGGGAACAGGGCTGAACGCGTTGGCAACGCGCTGCACGATGCACTGGCCTCAGTGATACCTCTCAGTTTTTCTGGCCTGCACCTATACCCCGTAGATCTGCAGTCCGGACCCCGTCCCTTCCTGCCCTTCGCCCCTCGTCATCGAGCCGCCCCCGCCTCCGCATCCCGCTCCATGGCACCTGGCGCCGCCGCCTGGCCGCTCTTCCGCCGCCGTCGCGCCGTCGCCATCGAGCCAACGGGCCGCCATCGCGGGCCCGACGCTGGAGATATCTGACCACCCCAACCCCAACCCGAAGTCCCAAATTCCGGCTTAGGGGGCGTATGGGTTCCATCTGTGTGCGTTCCATGTTCCGGGATGCCCCCCCCCCACCGTGGGAATGACGGGCAACTTGGGGCCTCCGGGTTGGGTTCGGGGGTGTTGGTGGGTAGTGAACGATCTGATCTTGTCTCTGCCGGCGGGCTTTGCCTCGATTTTGGCGCCCAGAGGGGCGTCTTCGTCGGGCCCCGGGACAATCAAAAATGGATCTGGGGCGAAAGACTGGCCCTGGAGAAGCGGTCGAGACCTCGGGCCGCGGATGGAAGATTTCGGTCTGCAGACATCAAGGCATGATCGGGCAGCATCGCGTCGGGCAGCTGGGCTGGACCGCTGGAGCGCGCTCCAGGTGCACAGCAGCGCCACGCAGGCACGGGGCCGTCGGGCCGCAAGAACATCGGATCCGAGATCGGATCGGTCAGCACGGGGGAAACGGGTCCTAGACCTTGGGGCCTTCCCCCAGGACGAGACCTTCATCCCGAGCCGTTTTCTGACAAGCCCAGAGCCCGTGGAGGGCCCCGAGAACCCCAAAACGGCAACAAGAACTATGAATCCGCTTCCGTCAGGTCCTGTTGCCCCCCTGGCGACCCACCTATTGGTCGCCGGCGCTGGCGGTCGTTTAGCGCGGAATCGCTCATGTTGCACGAGGGGCAGAGGCAAGGATAGGGGCGGCCACGGGGGGAGGCAGAAACAGAAGCGCGACGCGGCTCCGGCATCGGCGAGCCGGGCACACGCTTCTGCTCCGTCCCCGTGTTCCTCTTCCCTCCCTCCCTTCTCGTGATCTTCCCCCTCCTCCTCCTCCTCCTCCTCCTCCTCCTCCTCCTCCTCCTCCTCCTCCTCCTCCTCCCTCCCTCCTCCCTCCCTCCCTCCCTCCCTCCCTCCTCCCTCCCCCCTCCCTCCCTCCCTCCCTCCCTCCCTCCATCCCTCCCTCCCTCCTCCCTCCCTCCCTCCCTCCCTCTCCCTCCCTCCCTCCCTCCCTCTCCCTCCCTCCCTCCTCTCCCTCCCTCCCTCCCTCCCTCCCTCCCCCTCCCTCCCTCCCTCCCTCCTCCTCCTCCTCCTCCTCCTCCCCTCCCTCCTCCCTCCTCCTCCTCCTCCTCCTCCTCCTCCTCCTCCTCCTCCTCCTCCTCCTCCTCTCCTCCTCCCTCCTCCTCCTCCTCCCTCCTCCTCCTCCCTCCTCCTCCTCCTCCTCCTCCCTCCTCCTCCTCCTCCTCCTCCTCCTCCTCCTCCTCCTCCTCCTCCTCCTCCTCCTCCTCCTCCTCCTCCTCCTCCTCCTCCTCCTCCTCCTCCTGCTCTCCTCCTCCTCCTCCTCCTCCTCCTCCTCCTCCTCCTCCTCCTCCTCCTCCTCCTCCTCCTTTTCCTCCTCCTCCTCCTCCTCCTCCTCCTCCTCCTCCTCCTCCTCCTCCTCCTCCTCCTCCTCCTCCTCCTCCTCCTCCTCCTCCTCCTCCTCCTCCTCCTCTTCCCCTCCCCGCGCAAGCCGGGGGCCAGCTGCAGGACTGGCGGAGGGCGGCGGGGGGAGTGGGCGCCCTGGTCCCCTGGGGGTCCCTCGTCTGGGGGGGGGGGGCACCGGGTGGGAATGGCTCGGGATGCCCCCTGTTGCCAGGCCCCCCTGGCTCGGGGTCCCTGTGTCTCGTCCCACTTGGTGTCCATCCTCATCCTGGGGTCCCCTCGCCTCCTCCCCCGTCCTGCTCCGCCCTACTCCCTCCATCCACTTCCCTTTACTAAAAAATTCTTCCCTGTCGCACTTTCACACGTGTCGGTAGGGCGGGCCGGGCGCTTTACGTGAGACGTCCTCACCGTATATGATCCGGATGCTTGAACTCTGAAGCAGCTACAAAGATGGAGGGGGCGTGTTCTAACAAAGGCTCTCCCCGTAGCGCAGCGACCATTCGTCGTAAATGTTTGCCACCGCTTCAAGTATGGAGGGGGTGGTATCCAAAATGTGGCGTTCGCCTTAGCGCGGAACGCATTCGTTTTCAAAGTTTCCCAAAACTTCAAAGTTGGAGGTGTGGTGTTCACAATGTAGTGACCTCCTTAGCGCCGCGCGCATTTTTTCAAATCCAGAAGAGTTTCAAGACTGGAAGGCGGTTTCTTTTTGAGATGTGGATCTCGTTTTAGCGCCGGGCACGTTCTCTTCATACAATTGCAACATGCTACGAATATTGAGTACCGGCCGTTTTGCCTTAGCGTCGCGCGCAGCACTGCTAAGCACACTCAACAATTTCAAGCATGGAAATAATCATTTCCAAAGCGATGCTCTCCTTAATGCCGCGCACATGTGCTTTAACATGCTGCAACAGCTTGACACATATAGGTCGGGTCTTGCTCAAGGTGACGCGTTAGCCCAAGCGCAGCGCTCATTCGTCTCAAAAGCAAACGAAAGGTGCGAGGTTTGAGCACTGGTTTATGTCCAAATGGTTTTCTAGCCTTAGCGCCGATCACATTCTTCTCTGAACGCAACATTTGGAAAGATGGACAACTGCTTGTTTTCTTTGCAATGTGGTTCTCGCTCGTGACTTCTCACAAAAACCATGGCGGCCCTTCTCAGAATGGAGCTATCGCTTGATATGCCCTCGCCCTTCATGACAGCACGTACGACATTGAGCACAAAATGCAAGGATGGGGGGCGGTCCTTCTTCGGAAGGTGGATACCGCTGGACACACTGCTGAAATATATGATCATGATTTCTCGCGCTACTGAGCATGGGCCGGAAGGGCGTAAGGCAATTCTTTGTTACATAGCAGGGCCCACGCCACATCGGCAACCTCAACTGTGCTGGACTTCTACGGGACGCATTTTGCAGCGAAGAAGAAATATCTCAGGGAAGCACGATGAGGGGACTCAGACTCGGACGGCAAGGTGTCCTGCAGCATCGCTGATGCATCTTTGATTTCTGGGCAGTAATAACTTGTTATTGCAAGTCATAAACCGACGCCCCCAGGCGGGAGTGTCCTGCCGTCGGCGCACCGCGCGATGGCGGGCGCCCGCATGTCCACCCGCCACGCGCCGCCGCTACGTCGGGCGGGCCAGGCCCCGCACGGGCATGCTGGCATGCCGCGCGGCCGTGCGTCGGGGTCCTTCCTCCCTCCGCTCCTCCGTGCACGGTCGTGATGTCTCCTCTTTGCCGCGTGGCCGCGGGGCGGGATATCAAGCACCCGGTCATGTCTGCAGCGCCCCACCTGCCTAGTGTGCACTCTCAAGGTGGGGCGGCTGGCCGGGGTGTGGTCCTCTGTCTGCCAGCGCGCGGCTCTGGACCAACCCTGGGGGCGACGCGCGGGGCGTCCGTTCGCCAGGGTGCGTCGGACGCGACCGCGGTCGCGCTTCTTTTCTGGCCCAGTGTGGCCCCTCGTGGGTGTCCTTGTCTTGAGCTTTTCCCTGCGGGTCAACACCGCTGGTCCTTGGTGACCTACGCGTTGTTTCTCCACCCTGGCGGAGTCTGCTTCACGGCCCTGAGGGGTCACGGCATTGCTATCAAGCCCAGAGTGGCCTCTTACGTCGGCCCAGTGCGACCAACGTACCCATAGGGTTCCCCCTCGCGGGCCCAGAGCGACCCTCGTCTGGCGGCCCAGAGTGGTCATTCAGTAGCAGGGCAGCCGATGCCAGCCCGCATATCTGGCGGCCCTAGAGCGGCCAATCTTCGATAGGGCGGCCGTTGCGGCTTGCCTGACTGCCAGCAGACCCGCGCGTCTCGCTTGGAGGCCCATAGTGGCCAATCGTTGCAAACGTTTCTTTCGCATTCCCAGTGTACAGTCGAGCGCGAGACCCGCAGCGCGCCAGACTCGAAGCGCAAAGGCAGCGAACACCCGCCGTCGGTCGACGGTTTTTGCTCTGGCCGCCGCAGGTTCGCAGCGGCTCCGAATGTCGGGTGAAGTCAGCGGCTTCTGCTTGCTTGCGATGGCGGAGCAGGCTGCGCAGGCGGCGCTCGCGCCGTTCGAGGCGAAAACAGAGAGGGGCCCCTTGGCGCGCACCGCATCCCGCGCGCGGGTCGCGTACGCAGACACAGCGTTGTCGCAGGCGCGCGAGCGGCTTCGCTACCTGCTGGTTAAGGGGGCGGGCCCCAGGTTGCAGGGGCGAGCGCCAGGGGGCCCGCCCCTAGCAATGCCAGCACCACCTGCCAACGAGAGCTGCTGGTCGCCAGTCCGACTCGGAGCAGTCGGCCCTCGGTTAGTAAGGCTGGAGCAGGTGTGGGCTGAACTGCGCTTCGCCCTGGCCCAATGCGCACCGCGTTTGCCGCGCGACGTCTGCCATATCATAATGGGCTACGCTAAGCCCCAGATCGTCTCTGCGCCCGTGATACGCCACCGTCTAATTGACAATCCAGACAGCGGCGATGAAGCGCACTTCCGCCGGGCAAAGCTGCGAGCGCGCCCGCCAGCGCGGGCCGCGGGCGCCTAGGGCGGCGCACGCGACCACAACGCTTTTAACAAACGCGCGCGCTCGTGCCGCGCGTGTCGCCCCAGTGTGGATTTGCGCGCTCCCTCCCGCAAATGGAGGCCGCATAAG